AACTATATAACGAAGCTGTTAAGATTGAGTTTGCTTACAGCTCTTCAGACTGAACAGTTTAAATAATAAAGTCAATAAAATACTGTTTTTCTAAAAGTTACAGTTGCTGTTATTTATGTTAAGTCCTTATTGCAGCTGGTCAAGGTTTTAGCTCGTAGCATGTTTGTTTAATTTAATATAAAACGAGCAACAACAACAATCTATTTCATTTTTTTCTCCATTTTGATTTGAAACAATTTTGCTAAGTAGGAACAAAAACCCAAAATATCCATGTGTAAATGTTTTTCTTTTGTCACTGTGCCTCAATGACTTGATGAGCTCATGGTCGTGGCCAAGCCAAACATCAGATCTGGAGGTTTCAGAGAGGATTGTTTGAAAAATGGTGGCGATGTTTAAATATAGAATTTTTAAAACAAAAATAAGCCCAAACAGTTTTCATGTGATATTTTGATCTTGATCTGATTTAGGAAATTTCATTATATCTCATCCATAACTTACACTTGTTCAAATGTTATTTAAATCACAATTCTGCCCATTAGTGGTGCCACCACATTTAAGAACTGCATGCTCATATTTAATCTGTCCCTGCTCTGGTTTGACCCTCCTCAAGAAACAGTGAGGGAAACTGTCTGTCTGCTCATGGACAGACAAAAGATGCTTTTTCTTATTTAACACAGTTCTCGTTAAAATAGAATTCATATTAAATTAAGAAGAGGAATTGCATGTTTTTTAAAAACTCATCAAATTTCTGTTCTGATGCATGGTCAACAATCCAGGTAGATAAGTCTTTCAAGGTTGAATCCTCTGGACGGGTTCTTCGTTGAAATAGTTTGACTTTTATCCATAAGACCTCAGTCTGAGGAGCTGCAAGCAAACTCAGTCCTATAAGCAGTATAGACCAAAAGGATGGACCAGCACAGAAGAGCAACATCATCAAGCAAGGACTCTGTGGTCTAAACTCATCTGTAGGCCGGCCCAGCAGCCACTATATCAGGGATGTTCACAGCATTGATAGAGAGGAGCATTGGTTTGAGAGAGGAGTGAAGGAAGCCATCTTTGTGAAGAGAACTCATCCATCATTAAAGAGGAGCAGAGGCCTCGGTGTTCAACTGTCCACCTCTTACAACGTTGTTATAGCATCACTCAGCCCGCGGTGAATAGCAAGTGACCATCAAGGCAACATTCGATTGTTAGATCCTACCGTCACATGTGAACAACTAGCTTTGGCTGTCACTTGCAAACTGGTTGATCCACTACGAGAAGGAGCTGTTTATAAGACTGACTGTGTTTACTGCTCCTCAGACTGAAGAAGGTTTTTGGATAAAAGACAAAACATTTCAACAAAGAAGAATTCGTCCAGAGGACCTGATTCAACTTTATTAGATCATCTAAATTATGTTCTCATGTCAAGATATGCATCGTTTAGCTATGTTTGTGGTAGTATTTTGTGTTTATGGTAGGTCTATTCTTTTCTACGTTGTAGTTAATATGCTATTGGTAAATATGTTTAGGGTATATATTTCCCCAGTAAAGACACAGGCTGTATCAAATTTCACAATCAATGAGCAGCTATGGAAGGTGGTGGATAAGGTCACTTACCTTGGTAACATACTCTCAAGCATTGCTGTCATAGATGATGAAGTAAATACTAGACTTGCTACAGCAAGTGCAACAAAGATCAAGGTTTACCAGGCCATAGTCCTCACCACTCTCTTGTATGGCTATGCATCCTGGACAGTCTACCAGGGCCATGCAAGGAAGTTGAACCACTTCCACCTGCCTCAGAAAACTCCTTGGCATTAAATGGCAAGACAAGATCTCAGACACTGAGGTTCTCAGGCATAAGAATTTTCAGTATATACACCATCCTGGTGCAGCCACAACTTTGGGCAGGGCATTTTTTTTTCTTTACGCTACTTTATCTTTTGACTGTCCTTTTGATTGCTATTTTGTTTTGATTTGTAAAAAAAAAAAAAAAAAAGAAATTAAAATTTTGTATGCCTCTTTTGTGACTGTCTATTTTTGTAGGGGGAGTGGTGGTGCAGAGGTTAGAAGATGGGCTTGTGATTGGAAAATCGCAGGTTCATCTTCCGGTCCCATCAACATCAAAATGTGGGTGGAAAAGGTGGAACACCCACACCTCCCTCCACCCTCATTCGCCGCACTCTGGGCCCCTGAGCAAGGCCCTTAACCCCCACCATCTGCTCCCTAAAAAGCTCTCTCTTGAAAATGAGTTCTTGTGGCTCAATGAGGCTACCTGGATAAATAAAGGGTAAATGAAAAAAATGTTGTTGTTACTCACGGTTGTCATCACTCTTTGTTAAAGAAATCAGGTCTCTCTTGTAAATGAGTCCCAGAGTCATAATGGGATTAACCTGTCTAAATAAATGTTACAGTACGTCAGACCATCGGCTCCACAGGAAACTATTTTATGGCAAACTGCAACAAAGGACGCTCTTCCGAGGAGGCCAGAAAAAAGCTTTAAAGACACACTAAAATCCTCAATAAAGGCCTCAAGCATCTGCACTGACACCTGGGAGCAGAGAGAGCAAGGCAGAGAGAAATGGCTAACATCTGTTCACAGGGGTGCCAACAACTCTGAAGCAAACAGGACAGTTGCAGCTGAGCAGAGCAGACAGGCAAAAACAAAACAAAATTGCACAAACAGACTCTCACCTTCCTGGGTGGAGTTTGCATGTTCTCTCCGTGCATGTGTGGGTTTTCTCCGGGTACTCCAGTTTCCTCCCACAGACAGAAAACATGCATTTTAGACTGATTGGTAACTCTAAATTGTTCTTAGGTGTGAGTGAGAGACTGAATGCTTGTTTGTCTTCATGTGACCCTGTGATGGACTTGCGACCTGTCTAGGGTGTACCCCGCCCCTCACACAGTGATTGCTGGAAATATGCACCAGCGACCCCCGTGACCCAACATGGAAGAAGCGGGTAAAAGATAATGGATGGATGGACTCTCATTGGGTCAGCAGCCACCATTTCTATCCACGCTGCCACAGAGCAGTTTGAGAATAAATTGTCTTGACCAGCCATCTTTGTTAGTCCTTGTCAATTCTGACGGACGAAAGACACCCTCCTTGTGTCTTCATGCGTCTTATAGTGTTGTAGTACTCGAGACCTGTCTTTGTCTTGAGACTGGTCTCAAGACCATTTTTTGATGGTCTCGGTCTTGTCTCGATCTCGGACATTGAGGACTCGGGATTTTATTTCAAGACCAGTCAGAGAGATTTATTTGTCATTAGCATCTCATGTGGTACATGTGGTGGAACGAAATTATGTACACAGGGTCCCAGTTACCCACTCCCTGGGCTGCCACCCTACCATGGTGGAGGGGTTTGAGTGTCCCAATGATCCTAGGAACTATGCTGTCAGGGGCGTCATGCCCGTATGTAGGGTTACCCAAGGCAGACAGGTCCTAGGTGAGGGACCAGACAAAGTGCAGCCCAAAGACCCTTTATGATGAGTACAATCTATGGAAACAATGTTTCCTCACTCGGACGTGGGTTACCAGGGCCCCACTTTGAGCCGGACCTGGAGGTGGGGCATGCTGGCGAGTGCCTGGTGGCTGAGCTTTTATTCATGGAGCTCGGCCGGGCACAGCCCAAAGAGGCGACATGGGTCCCCCTGCCCATGGGCTCACCACCTGTGGGAGGGGCAAAAGGGGTCGGGTACAATGTGGGATGGGTGGTGGCCGAAGGCGGGGACCCTGGCGGTCTAATCCTCAGCTACAGAAGCTCGCTATTGGGACGTGGAATGTCACCTCTCTGATGGGGAAGGAGCCTGAGCTGGTGTGTGAGGTTGAGCGATTCCGGGTAGAAATAGTCGGACTCACCTATACGCATGGCTCTTGCTCTGGATTCAGTTTCCTTGAGAGGGGATGGACATTCTTCCACTCTGGAGTTGCCCCTGGTGAGAGGCGCCGAGTAAGAGTGGGCATACTTGTTGCCCCCCATCGTGCCTGTACGTTGGGGTTCACCCCGATGAACGAGAGAGTAGCCTCCTTCCGTCTACATGTGGGGGGATGGGTTTTGACTGTTGTTTGTGCTTATGCACCAAACGGCAGTTCAAATTACCCACCCTTTTTGGAGTCCTTGGAGGGGGTACTGGAGAGTGCGCCTCCTGGGGACTCCCTTGTTCTGCTGGGGGACTTCAACGCTCACGTGGGAAATGACAGTGAGACCTGGAGGGGTGTGGTTGGGAGGAATGGCCCCCCTGATCTGAACAAGAGTGGTGTTCTGTTATTGGACTTCTGTGCTCATCATGGATTGTCCATTACGAACACCATGTTCAAGCATAAGGGTGTCCATATGGGCTCTTGGCACCAGGACACCCTAGGCCACAGTTCGATGATCGACTTTGTTTTTGTCTCATCTGATCTGTGGCTGCATGTCTTGGACACTTGGGTGAAGAGAGGAGCGGAGCTGTCCACTGACCACTACCTGGTGAGTTGGCATGACGTCACATGACGTCAGACAACTTCCTTTTTGACTCGATGCTGTGGATCATTACTTCCGGGTCTA